CGGGCAGCGCCGCGGCCGTGTGACCCCAGCGCTGTGCCGGGCATCGCTGTGCCGAGCAGCGCTGTGCCGACACGGCCCCAGACACGCTGGGCGGCTGGGGAGGGTGAGGTGTTCATTCAAATGGAAAGCCAGCGCTGGTTTGTGTTGGTTACTAAATCGGATTGTTCATGTGGCACTTGTGAATTAGGAGTGTTTAATTTTTGTAGATTTCCTAGTGTGCCCAGCCCTGGAATTTTTCTTTTTGGAGTACTAGGTCTAAATAGCAAATCAGCCTTCTACTTTCAGCAGATTCAGGATTTTAGTGCGTGTAGCACCTTGGATTGGGTGTAGTGATGGATTTCAAGCAAGCTGATTCAGCTCTGTTCGTTGGTTATTCCAAACTGGTAAAAACACCTAAATTTGTATTTTTGCAATTGATCTGCAGTTCTGGCAAAACTTCCGAGTTGAGCTCTTAAAAGAACTCTCCATGTTTTCTATGTGATGAAAGTCACTAAATGTTACCAAACAATGAAGGCTGATTCAAAAAGGGGGGAAAAAAAGTCTCCCAAGGATGTTTTGTTTTGTTATAAATAAACACAAGATTTTTGTCTGCTCTTTAAATTGTTTCAAGTCTGCTTACTTAAGCATCAAAGGCAACAGGGATTCTGTTTCCGCCTTCAGAAATGGAAGTCTCAAATGATCTCTTTATGGAGATACTACTCACTCTCCTTTTGCTGGCTTCTGTGGAAGTCAGTGATACTTTCTGCCCCTCACTCTTAGCTTCTCACTCTCAAATACAGATTGCTGTAGTCAGGCTGTGCTCCTGAGCAAAGTTGTGGTGTTAACCAAACTTACAAACCCAGCCATAAACACCCAACTGTGTTGAGCTAATGAGTCAGAAGCACATGTCAGATCACAACATGATGATTTTTGTTTCTGTTCTAATATACTGAAAGCTCATATGCCTTCTAGGCTACCTACCCAAAGCTGAGATGAAGGAATAGCAGTAAAAGAAAAAAATGTTAACTTTAACTGAATTACATAATTATTCTTTGACTCTGTGTGTAGCTAAAACGTAACCTTCCTGTTTCAAAAGCTGCAGGGATGAGAACTTTATAGGAGTGTTACAGCATTAGTCAAGCTGCTTTGTTTGACTGTCAATATTATCTGAAACATAATATTTGGTATTTTTTTTATATTATAAATTCTTTGTTATTACTATTTTTTAGGAAGCCAAACTTCAGGCTGTGATCCTGCACACCTCTTCTTGGCAACAGTCACCTCAGGGCATTTGTTCTGGCTGCCCCTTGGCTACTGCACAGTTGTTTATGTGGTGCTGTGAGTGATCAGTGAACTGCTCTGACTGAAGAAGTGGCCCACTGGAAAAAGCTGTTTTTTCAGCCAGATTAGTTTCTTTGTCTGCATCATCGTCTAGGTGCCCAAAAAGTTATGCCACCAGATTAGAGGAGGCAGGGATGGAAATGCAGTTGACCAAGACCCTGGGATTACATAAACCAGTCTGTACCTGTCCTAGTGATTATTCAGCAGTAACGTGACTTGACTTGGCAAACTGCAGAGGTTCAGTGCTGACAAGGAGGTGGTGGGAAGGCTGAGAATGAAGCCTCACTCTCTCAACTGTGCAGGGTCATACATGTCAGCATGTGTGTTCCTGCAGTCAGTTGTGTGACTTACTTTCCCTGCTGTTCCGAAAGACTCAGATTCATTGCTGAATTGCACATCTCAAGGGCTTTTGTGGTTGGGCAAAAGGCTGGTCCTGCTCATCATCTCTTTCATTTTCCTTCCTTCTAGCCATAAAATCCTGTCTCCTCCATATGATGCTTCTGGCAGCCTCCTCATCGTTTACTTGAGTTGTTCCATTTGTAAACCTAGGAGAAAAGGAACTTGGTTTTTATTTATTTCACTCAATTTAGCAAAAAGAGGGGAGTCTTTTATTTGATTCATTAGGTCTGCTTAGTTACCTCATGACATTCTCTTGAACTGCACCTTCAGTATCAAGCCAGTTTGGCAGTCAAACACTGGCAAAGAGGCATCCTAGGGAGGTGGTCAATGCCCTGAACCTGTCAGTGTTTAAAGAGGCATTTGGACAATGCCCTTAACAACATGCTTTTGCTTTCGGTCAGCCCTGAAGTGATCAGGGTGCTGGATAGGTGATCATTGTAGGTCCCTTGCAACTGAAATGTTCTGTGTGACACTAGCCCAACTATTTCCCCATGTCCATCTTCTAATTTTGATGCAAGTGCCTGTGTGTTGCTGTATGGTGGATTGCTTTGAGAGCAGGATTCAAGATAAATCTCAGAGTATGGAAGCAGGATAAATTGAGCAGGGAAAGGCTGGAAGTTGTGACTCTGCAGTCGTCTTTGGTGCATAGGTCTGTGTAACTGCATTTTGAGGTTGGCTTCAGAATTGCAGTCATGCAGCTGTCATTAGGAGGTGTATTTTGGCTCTTTCTGGCAATTTTTTTGTGTGCTAGCACTAACCTTTAACTGAAATTTTTATCTGATACATTTTCAGTCGGATGGGTTGGTTAGTCCTAGTGCTGCCCCTCTGGGTACATGACTGAGAATGAGCAGTCACAGGACAAGTATGTGGAAGAGCAGAACCAACTGTTTTGGCAAGAGCCCTAACTAAATGGGTTAAAATAACCAGGCAGTTGTGGCCAAGTGCTTCCCTTCATCTGCTACATGGTGGTATGAAAACTGGAGAAACTTAAGTCTGGTTAAGGCTTAAACCCAGAGTTGTCTTAGTGAGGAAATGCCACCTGAAAAATAATCCCCAGTTGTAGATAGGTCCAAGCAGCCTGCTCAGGAGCTGGAGTGTTTCCAGAGGCAAAGCTCACTTGAATGTATGGCATAGCACAGCTCTAGAAGAGCTCAAGGCACAGTGTGCGCTGTGCTTTAAACACAGCATGGCACTTGTGTGACTTACTGTATCCCAGACCTCCCCATCTAAACAGTTTGCATGGCTCCTAATGGAAGAGTGCCACAGCTTTAGTAGCCACTTGATGCACAGAAAACAGGTTTACACCAAACCAGAGCCTTTTTTTTTTTGTTAGATCTCCTTTCCAACAGCTGTGCAATATTATTGCTGGAGCATTAAAAAATGAAGAAGGTGAGGGATGGCAGGGAGAGAGAGGGAACAGCTGCTTGTATGGAAGATGAGGGTGTTTGCAACCATAGCATTGAAGCCTTTTGCCAAGGATAGCTTTTCCATTTGGAGGCTTTACAGCTGGATCACACAGGGAGTGTAGAGGGTGTTGGATTCACAAGAAGTGAATCTGGTGACATCTAGGCCATGATTTAATTCATCATATGTAATTCCTGCCACTGGGGGTGTCTTGGAAGGCAGATCTTTATTGCCCAAACTGGAATTTAGTGCAAAGCTAGATTGTCCTGAAAAACATGTACTATCAGTTTCAAAATGAACAGAAGTTTCTGTTTGGTCATTGTTTTCTTATGTCAAAACAAGGTTATTGTAACACAATGTTGCTTGTGTCGGTCTTCTTTTTTTTTAACCAAGCTAGAAATTTGGTATTGAGGCTAATGGGAGGTGGAGTGCAATATGTTTGTCTCATGGTGCCCACTTCATCAGCTCTTGGACTTCAGAAACTTTCAACTTTGGCAAAAAGCTTTTAATGGTTTTAATTTAGCTTGATCTAACACAAGAGAAAAAAAATCTCATTTGTAAGCATGGGACCAAAACCCACTTCAAATGGACATTGTTTTGTATGGAGTTTATCCCCCTTTAAACTTGCTCGGCAGACTGGTTTCTGGGTGAGACGTGAAGGGCTACAAAGAGTCTAGCAGGCACTGTACAAGCAACTGCTACACTATATAGCCAGTTTATTTTGTTTTTCAGGGCAGTATGACTGCAATGACTGTATTTTTTCCTTTGGATACAGCTAGGCTTAGACTTCAGGGTAAGTGTCAAACTCTAGTTTCTTCGTACAATGGCATTTCTGTTCATTTTGGCTTGGTCATTTGTAAGGGTGGTTGTAGGGGGATGTTTTGCATGAACAGGAATCTTACCTGTCTCACACTAACACCATTTTTCCAGCTGAATGTAATTCTTCCTTTTGAAAATACTGGGCAACCTCTTAATTAGCTGAAAAGGCTGTGTGATCTGTAGCCAGACATGGCTTTTAAATGGTTATCTAAGACCAAAGAGAAAAATAAAGATGTGAGATCGCACAGGATTGCATTTGTGTGTTGTTGCTTTTGGCTGCTGAGCACACTTCAAAACGCTGGGGCAGCATCACGAGAAACTACTCTAGAACTAATCCTGAGAATGGTTTAAAGGGAAAAGTCAGGGTTAGAACTGGGACTAAGAATATCCAATGTTTATAAGAATGCATCTGGATAGTAACTTTGTTGTTCTAATGCTCAATCTTCCAAGCAAAAGTCACAGAATTGCCAAGTGTTTTAGTGCTGTGACTAATGCTCTATTAAGACTTGGAGGGAGATGATCCTCCAGGTCATCAGAAGTATGTGACTGAGAAATGAGCACCATATTGCTGTTGAACAGCTTTCAATGCAGGAAGAGACAGTGTTTTGCTAAGGCTTAGCTGTTTGCAAATTAACCATAGGAGCTTGCTCTGCTAGTGGTGCTAGTCTGGTGTCCAAGGAACAATGCTGAGAGCAGTTAAGCAGGCCCAATTCTAGTGTCCTACCTAAGGAGAACCTACCTTCAGTTCCTGACCCAGCTATCAGGAACTGATAACTGCAGCTACTGTGGGGCACAACAGAACCTGCTACTCTGGGGAAGAATAAAAAAAAGGAAGTAGCCTTACCTAGCGAATGAAAATAAGGAAATGCTTTACGGAATTGCTGCAGAAATAGGGAATGTCTGTCCTCTATGAGGAAGAAGAAACATGTGCTCCTGGGGTACATTCAGAGTACCAAGGATAAGGACTTGAAAAAGTGCTAAAAATTGGAATATTCTAAAAGTTGGATTCTTCTGTTTTCCAGTTGATGAGAAGCGGAAGTCTAAGACAACACCAGCAGTCCTTTTGGAAATAATCAAAGAAGAAGGCCTGTGAGTAGATACTAATTCTTTGCTTGGCTTCATGTAGACAAGCTCTAAAATTAATTTGAATTTGCTTTTAAAGTGGAATAGTTAGCCTGTGTCTGTGTGGATAGATTTTTACTCTGAATCGAACTGTCTCCATGTAAGTGTGATATGACTTGCATAATCTTAGGTGTTCATCTTTAGCTAATTAGGATTAACTTTCTTGAGCACCTTATGCAATTGATCTGTTCAGTGATGTAACTGTGCCTTAATTAGTGAGGTGGCTGTGTCTCCTCAGAAATGCAAATGTACCTTCACGTTCCTGATCAACCAGCTTTGTCTGCCTGGATTCTTGGGTGTGTCAACGTCTCATAACCAAGATGAAACTCCTGGGCAGCTGAGCTACTTTCAAGAGGAAAATTGAGACATATTTCCCAGTTGGAAGTTTTTTTTTTCTTCTAAGCACGTGGGAATAAACAGCACGTGACTCTTTATGCTGGTGGGATTCAAGATCTACCTAAAAGCAGTTTACTTTCAGCAATGCTGTGCTTTAGTATTTGCCACACAGTCTGAGCTGAGCTGGCTGGGCAAAACAGTTGTATGCCCGTTCTTGTTAGAAGTATTTTCCTAAATGAACCCCTGGAACTCTTAGGTAGACCAGACTCTAGAGAACATTAAAGCTGACAAAAGTTTAACCTGGCCCATCATGTTCTGCCACCTTTGAACTTGGGCAGTCGGCAGTTGTATGCATGAGGAGTTCTCCGTCAGTTGGAGACCTTTCTTGCTCACATTCCCACTTGGCTTTTGTCATGAGGCTGGCAAGTAAACATCAGTTGAAAAAAAAAAAGAGGGAAAGAAAAAAGAAGTTAGAGGTGGAGAGAGTGCAAAAGTGGTCATCCTACTTTTTCTGTGAAGCAGAAAAATCAGTAACTCTGGCAAGAGGGGAACATTGCTTCTTCCAAAGGTATCGGGAAGGCCTGGCTAAGCAGTGGTACTAGTTTTAGAGGTGTGTCAAGAGTAACAAAAAAAACCCAAACAACAACAATCTGAAATATTGTGTGAGATCATAAACATCTTGTTTGCATTAGTTTGTGGAGTCTTGTCTCATCTTACGCTTTTGTGAGACTGCTTTTCTCATCTAGATAAAGTAAATAGGTTTAGCTAATGGATTTTCTGCAGAAGTTTATCAAACAGCTTTGCTTTCTTCCCCATACTTTCATCCTTTTCTACATGATATGAAAGGTGTTTAGTAGTGTACACTGAGTTTTTCTCAAGGCTGCAGTTTGGAACACAAACTTATGTTTTATTTGTGTACAGAAGTATTTGTATGTGAATCATGGATGCTATCACTCACAAGTCATTAAAATAAACTCTGGGGTTTTGTTTTACTTTCATGTTTTGCACTGCAAGATGTTTCATTTGAAAATCATCCGAAGTTGTTCATAATAAATCAAGCAAAACCAAACTAACACTCAGTTATAGGAGATGATCCCTGGAGGATGTTTCTCCCTTTGTTTTCCAGCACAGAAGAGAGAGGCAATATAAAAAGTGTTTTAATTTGCCTTATGACTAACTGTATAGTCAGTTAATTTGTAACTGCAACTGTATGGTTAGCTAAACCTATAGCTTCAGAGACAGTCTTAGTAAGGTGGTATATTCCCAGCTACATGGGAAGGAGAAGCACTTGATGGATTTGAGACAATAAAGCAGCATTTACATTCTAAAAACAGTCAGATGCTGTGTTTACCAGCCTTGCATCTCTTACAGTCTCCTTGGAGATCCTTATATTCTATGTGTTCCCAGTGTTTTAGTGAATACCAAAGAGCCTCCATAATTACTGCTGTTAAGGAGATTTTGTTATGCTTTTAACATGATGTACCTGTTCTGTGCAACTCCAGCGAAGGTGTGTGTCATTATCTTTGTCTGGGTGCATTGTAGAACATGCTGGGAATGTAGGGCAGCTGTTGAGGTGTCCCTATTTTGCAGGCTTCTCAGGCCTGTCAGAGGAGGGAGCTTTGTTAATCAGCTGTTACGAAATCATTCCTAAATCAGGGCAGATTTTGATGATACTCAGTTTTTCATCTGTGACTGATTTAGTTAAATTTAACTAGGTAATGTCTTTTTCTTGCTTACCTGACTGATTTGCTCTAGACTTTACTGCGAGGCATTTGTTAGACTCTTCTCCCACCTGCATATCTCATGCCCCAGGTTGCATCCTTTACAAAACTCACCTTGGTGGACTATAGTAATTTCAGTAACTAGTTTTCCAGTTTTTAATTTTATGTGAGAATCCAGACTTTTTCCTTACTCAGGAGTTTCGTATGGTTTCTTACCATTGACGTTAAAGACATACCTAGTTAGTATTTTATGTAGTGTACAGTATTGTATCTCTGGGATCCTCTACCAACACGCAAAATCAACCATATCGCATAAATACTTGGCTGATCCTTACTGTGACTTTTTGCTCTCCTTCAGGTTGGCACCATATCGAGGATGGTTCCCTGTTATCTCCAGCCTTTGCTGCTCCAACTTTGTTTATTTTTATACATTTAATAGTCTTAAAGCCCTCTGGGTCAAAGGTCAGCATTCAACCACTGGAAAAGACTTGGTTCTGGGGGTTGTTGCAGGTAATACTTACAAATCTCAATTTTGTCAGGAATATATTTCTGGTATTATTCTATCTAGTGTTTTTTCTTACAAAGTCCCGTGGAGGTCACACTCAGTGCTCACACCTCCCACCTTGTGCACACCTGCTTCATTCTGATTGCTCTCTGTGTCCTCCCCACCTCATAAGTTCCTGTTGTGAATTCTGGCACCAAACACAGTGCTGTTGTGGTCTAGTGTTTTGTTTCTGCCTGGTGTGGTGTTTACCACAGTATCTAAGCATCATCTTTTAGCCGTTGAAGACAAGGGGCAGGGAGAGGTGATGATTGGTTAGGTTTTTTCAGAGGAAAAGATATATGTAAATTCTGAAATATTTTCAGTTATGGTATGTAAGAAGTTTTAGTGTAAGCATTTGGGTGTCAATTTTCAGACTTAGTTTTGGTTTGTCATCTGAAAGTAACGGTAAATCCCTAGGTATATGTAGGTCCAGTGGGATCATATGCTCTTTTTTATTCTGTCCTCTTACCTGGATGCTGCAGTGGCTTCTTTGAAGGGATGATAACATTAGTAACTCTTCTAGCAAATCCAATGTGAAAATTAGCTCTGTGTTTGCCAGTAATATTCTTCAGGAATTATGCTCATGTGGCCACACTGAAACAAGCTGATTTTAAAAAAAAAACCTGCAAAAAAGGCCAGTGATTTTTGTTTTCTTAGTTGGTAGTTAGTAGTACATTCAGTGTAGGTACAATGTCTGGCTGAATAATTGGGGGAAATAAGAAGGAAATTCATAAGTTGGCTATGTCATTGTGGTAAAATTCCACACAACTACATTTTGGAACAAAGGCTACAGGAATTAGGGTAATAGCTTCTCAGTTAAATGACTTGCTCTCCTTCAGTGGCATTAGTTTATCTCCTTATAATGAAATTATATCTGGTGTAAATTGAAAAATTCCACTTAAGGTGTTTACTAGTTCTCCCTACTCATCTCTCATTCCTATTACTGGTAGCAAATGCAGATTAGAAAGATATATTAAGAAAAATTCCTTTCCAATCTGGAAAATAAAGTATATGACTTTAACTGAGTCTGGATCAAGAATTACAAGTAGACCTGTTGCTCCTTAAGGTGATCACATTGACTCTGTGTAAGAAACACTAATGTGATTTGCCTTTTCTAGAGCTTGTTTCTGCTCACAGCTTTTTTGAGCACTGACTGCTGTCCTTATGGAGGATACTGAAATATCATTATGTTTATATTCTGCTTTTCTGAACCCTCTAAAAGGAAAAGAACAAACAGGCTCAATGTGGGTAGTAAATTTTCACCTTTTTCAGGTTTCCTGTTCTTGATGGAGATGTAGTGTGTCCATCTCAATATAACGAAATCATTCAGTCTGTCACTCAGACTCACCCAAAGCAGCCAGTGTAGAAGCAATTGCTAATTTCTGTGTTGCAGAAATAGTCATAAGAAAAATCAGGAGCTTGTTTATAACATAGTTACTTCAAGGTAACTGCCTGTACCAGGTGATTGCAGAAGTTATGTCACTTAACCTTCTCCCTGTTCGTTTAGTTCTGCATTTTGCAATACATCTGTGTTGCAGCCACGTGTGTTTGTCTCTCTTTTCCCCCACCCTAATTTCTGATACTCTACTTTCAAGATTTACTGTTGAGGTTTTTGTGTGTAATCTCGTGCCACTTCTAAGCCTTACTTAAATGTTTACAGAATCCTGTGTTTTCCACTGTAAGTGTACTTAGTGAATCTAGAAGCTAAAAATTCTCATTCTTTTGGCAGTGTTTGATCTGTTTTGATCTCCCTTTAAAAAATAATCCTTCTAACCTTATGTCTCAGCATTTCTTTCTGAAACTAGGCAGGCAGCAAGCCATCATGGGGTGAAGCAGGGCGTGAAAAAGTAGAGTGTCTTGTGCTCCAGTGTGGTGTAGTTTGCAGCAAATTAAAAAAGTTCCTTTAGGATTCCTTCAACATGGTCATATTTGATGTGTTTTGTTGTTTGGGATGGGTTTCTTTTTGTTTTAGCTTGTTTTAGTTACCAGCAGAAATACCTTCCTGCTGCATGCAATCTGCTGGCAACTGATTCACAATGAGGCTGTGGCATGGACACATGAAGTAGATAATTACAAATCATAATTTACTTTTCCCATACGCTGTGTTAATTTTTTTCCTTCTTCCTACCAGTAATT